CACAATGAAAGGCTGAAGAAACAGCAGGTAAGAAACAATTTTCACTGATCAAAGAACTAAATGCTAACCGAATAAAGTATTCTGCATTGAAACTGCTTTCATGAATAGGAAGCATTTTGAACGAACCAGGATTTTTTTCTTTGTGCATTCTTCAAAGAAGCTTTGGAGGTGGAAATGGGTTTGCCTACCTTAGTACAAAGTACTTTCATTGTTTCAGTTTCAAGCGATAAAGCTATGAGGTTCCAAAAAAAAAAAAAAAAAATGCAGACTTCAAAAAAAGCCCTTAGAAATAGTTCCAAAATTGAAAAGGGCATAAGGTCATTATTTTAGAGCCTCTAGACTCAAAGAACTGTACATAATTATGCAAAATCTTCTATGCAAAAATGTAGTAGAACTTCTTTTGTGACACAATTCTACCTCATCAGAAGTAGAAGCTCTAGAGCCTTCTCTGGGTGCTTAGATGTAGGGTCACCCTTCATCCAAAATTATTGAAATGGCAGGGCCAGTGGCAGTGCACAGTTTATTCCACTGGAAATATAAATCCTGAGTTTAAAATTCACTGCGTACAAGCCTTAAAACAAATATGTAGACGTGTGGGCCAATAGTGAGGTTAGACTGCCCGTTCCTGATGGCAGGGCATTTTTTTGTTTTGTCTTTTCACTCATGTATCCCAGCACCTGGAGCAGTGCTGGGCACACAGTAGGTGCTTAATTACTGGATCTGCTCTTGTAAAAATAACGAATGCATTGTAAAATGCATAGTGAGAAGTTTTTCCTTCATATATTCATTTTACGAATTAAAATACACTGTTTTTCATCTATCAGCATTTTATAGGACAGAGGGAAATGGGCAATCTTAGAGGTACTGACAGAGAGGCGGGGGCACCCAGGACGGCTGTGTAGCAGGCACTGCTCACAGGCACTAGCGGGGATGGGGGGGGAGCGGGGGAAGGAGGGCGAGGAGACCCGGGGAGCCCTCTGGGGGATGGCTGTCCTGATCTTGCAGCCTGGCGGGCAGGGCGGCTCTCTGCGCCTTCTTGTGATAGACAGGAGTGTAAGATAGTGCACTTTCCTTGAGAACAATTGGGAACTATCAATACTTCGCAAAATTGAAAATCGACAAACACTTTGTCTTGTCTAGAAACCCTACCTTATTACAGGAATTGTAATAAGGTTTTTACTTTACATATATACTAACATTTGCAAATAAAATGATACAGACACAAACATTCTGATGATAGCAACTGTCTGTAAACTTACTTACTGAAGGCTCATGTATTGAAAAGTATTTACATAATTTATGTACATCCGTAAAATAAAAGATTAGGCAGGGATTACCATGCAATGGAGCTGTACATGCAGATATGTTAGTTTCTAAGAGATGTTAGTTAAACAAGGTACAGAAGAGACCATGTTTTAGTTATTGTGCTCCATTAAGTCAAAAATCTTTTTAAAGAATAACGTTGAATTTGATTTTCAGTACTAGCAAGAGTGTTGTACATATATCCATGAACTTTAATATCTGATACTACTCAAATATCTAAATCCAGTTCATTTGGACATTTAGAATATATCACTATTAAAATTCAATTTTAAACATAAAGACTGGCGAATTTTAAAAAAGGGTGAAATATATGTTTAATAGAGGTGCCAACCAACCAAATGGGAGATGATATTTGCAAACAACACCTCCAATAAGGAATTGATATTCAAAATACATAAAGAACTCTTATGACTCAAAAACAAAAAACAAACAGTCCAGTTAAAAAATGAGCAGAGGACCTGAACAGACACCTGTCCCAAGAAGACATATAAGTGGCCAACAGATACATGAAAAGATGCTGAACATCACTAGCTATTAGAGGAATGCGAATCAAAACTACAGCGAGATACCACCTCACACCTGTAAGAAGGGCGCTCATCAACAAGACAGGTAACAAGTGAGGGAGAGGCTGTGGAGAAAAAGGAACCCTCTTCATTCCCTGCTGGTGGGCACGTAAACTGGTACAGACACTGTGGAAAACTGTGTAGAGGTTCCTCAAAACATTAAGAATAGCGTTACCATATGACCCGGAATCCCTCTTCTGAGTATCTACCAGAAAATTTTGAAAACATTATTGGCAAAGATATATGCACCCCTATGTTCATTGCAGCATTATTCACGGCGGCCAAGACGTGGAGACAACCGTAGTGCCCTTTGACAGGCGGCTGGATAAAAAAGCCGTGGCACGTAGCTATTGTACGATGGAAAACACCACGGAGCCGTAAGAAAGATGAAATATTGCCATTGGAGACAGCATGGATGGATCCGGAGAGTATCATGCTGAACAAAAAAGTCAGAGAGAAGAAGTCAAGAACCATATGATTTCACTCATATGTTGGATATAAAACTGAAAGCAACAAGTAAACAAACAATGCAAACAAACACTCAGAGACACAGACAACAGCACCGTGGCTACCAGAGGGAAAGCGGGCGGTGGGGAGGAGCGGGTAAAGGGGGTCAAATACCAAAAAAGAGGCCAAAAATGACAGTTTCCTAAAGTCAATTTTCTTAAGGTTTTTCCATTATGCTTACATTATTTTGAAGTCCTTCTCCATATTTCTCACAAAGTCATAATTTTCACTGACTTCAGTTAAATCGCATTTCTGTAGCTGTCTGGGTCAGGGCATTTAACATGTCAATCATTATCCAAGTGAAAGAGTAAGTGATTTTGAAATAGTCTCTGCGCCAAGAAGGAAATCTGGGTTTAAGAAAGTAAGAGGGAGATAATTGTATTGGCAGAGAGGTAACAATTTACTCCCATTCTACCAAGAAGCCCACTTCTTGGTTTTCCTCAAAAGTGAGCCTAGATTTAAATAAAGTAGAAGGGCACGGGTGGCATCGCAGAGGCGGTGGCGATGCAAGAGGGCACAGGCGTGGAGCGGCGCGTTCTGAGCAGCACGCCCTGTTACACAGAAAGAAACAACCCCCAAATAAATAGCTGTGTCTATTTGATCGCCAGCTCATTACTGGGTAGAAACTGGAACACCTTCCTGGCTCGAAAGTTTAGTCTCAGGAGCGGGAAGCCCCACCCCGCGAGAGATCACTGCGCAGGCACCTTTACCACTGCCCGAGGCAACCAAGCCCAAAACAGCAATGAAGGTGTTTGTTCACGTGCGCTTACCTATAGATCCAGGCAACGCCGCCAATTACATAAAATAACTTATTGCACACTGTCCTCATGGTTGCTACATATAAGGCACTTCTCTTATGTTGGGGCATGGATTTAATCACTTATTTTGGAATATACACTTATTAAAATCCACCTTATATTCTTCGTGTCATTACCAGTTACAGATAACTGTCTAATCATCAAATCCAAAGATCTTGTCCTTTCCTGTGTCCCTAAATCGCAAATAAAAAAATAAAAACTAAACTGCCTAAGCAGATTTCATCCTAATAGTTACTTATATAATCATTTATTAGCTACTAATTTGGAATCAGGTGATGATTTTTAGACCTTAAGTCTCTGTCTTTATAGAGTTTTACCATATATTTGCTTCTTTTAAAGTTATCCATACACAAGTAGAATTAAAATAATATTTGCACAATCATCTTCAAAATAAGGTACAGTTTTTCTTTTAAAATTCTGACAGTATGGGTTTTGAAAATTTTTTTCTATTTGGTTTTCTGATTCCGTTCAGATTTGTGTTTACAGGTGGATCTTACACCATTCTCACTGAAAAACTCAAAAGTTTCAAAAAGTTTATATTTTTTAAAAATTTGATAACTTTCAAAAGTCTGCTATGACTTTTGTGCTCACTAGGAACTGAGGAAAAACTGAACATCCTTCAGCTTTACCGTGGCTGCAAAAGGTGTCAGTTAACTGGTGTGATTCTCCCAGTGCTGGGCAGAAGGTTTTACATGTTAACATTTATTTAATAAAGAAAAGGCAAGACGAGCTTCTCAGTGCTTACAAACTGGCACATTTTAAAAGCCCACCTCTCCTCCTTCTGGACTGCCTACATCTGACTTCAGATGCACTTGCTGTAGTCCACAGAGTTCTGTAATTGGCGCTCAAACAGAATAATCCCCAAATATACTCACCAAACCAATACATATTCTAGAGCAAGCCTCTGTCCTAATAGACTCCCAGAACTCCCCTAAGAAATCGTGGTGGGCAGTGGAAAGCAACGTTTTCTACTCTTTCTATGCATTTCCACTAATTTTCAGAGATAGCCCCTAAAAAAACTTTTGGCTTCAAGACCCTTGAAGAGAGGAATTGGTTGTACAGTGTTTATAAACAATCCTAATAGCCACTTCCAAAGCTTTGTTCACAATAATGCCCCTAGGTCGTTCTGTGTTTAATAACTTTTCATAAGGAATACGTTAGGTTCATTCATTATGCAAAAAGCTTTAATCCTTGCTATTATTTACTCTTAATTATTCTTTCACGCCCGACCGCCGATGAGAGACTTAATAAGAAAAATCCGAGGAAACAAGTTTAAATCCACCTGCGGTAATCTCTTAGGAGCCCCACCATCATCACCAGGTTCCTTCCTCTAGAGTTTAACGCTCCGCTAGGGACTCCCACAGACCGTGGGTACAGACTACAATGTCTGCCTGGGCTAGGCTGGAAGGCAGCAGCCCGGGCGCCCCAGAGCCCTCCGCACGGAGCCCCCGGGTCTGGCGGCCGGCGCGCTCGCGGCGGGACCGCGGGGCGCGGCTTCACCTCGGGGGGCGCACAGGCGCACACGGGGTTCCCTCGCCAACTTGTCACAGTGGGCAGCCTGTCAAACCGGGGGTGGGGCGGGGGCTTATAGCAACACACACGGTCTTACTCTCCCGTAGCACGGCGGGCACCGGGAGGCCGGCGGCCCGGACACGACCGCGCTGCCACTGACAGTTGGCACCTGGGGTTGGGAAGGCACCCTGGAGTACCCGTCGTCCGAGGACCGGCGTGGCGCCACAACTGGGCGCAGGGCGGCGCAGAGAAGCTGTACCTGACAGGTACCACGTACCGATCATGGTCACGGGGCGGGTGCAGACTGCTCGACATGAAGGGGACCACCGGGCACACAGGCGCCAGCCCGCGCCTCCCACCAGCAGCGCGCTCGGGGGTTAAATCGGCCGGACTCCCCTTCCCCGCGCCTGGCCGTCGGAGTACGCAAGCGCAGACTGTGAGCAGCCCGCGGCCTTCTGGGAGTCGTAGTTTTAGCTCAGGATTCTCCTTACCCCGCCCGCCTTCCGCCTCTCTTCCGGGTTAAGGTCCAGGAAACGTACGTCACCGGGGGTGGGGCCATCACGCGCAGTGTTGACGCGTCGCCTAGCAACCGAGAGGCTCACTTTTGGAAGCTCGTTGCAGCTCCAGTAGAGGTCCGGCCCTCTTCCCGCCCCGCCCCTCCCTTCAACCCCCGTCACCTAGGAGCTGCCCAACATCTGGATCAACCTGGGCACGACAAGAGGTTGAATGTCTGCCATTAACGCGCCTCTTGACTTTTTTCCCCCGACCTCTTCACATCCGTAAAACCTACTGACTTTTGTACTACACGTTGTATGTGAACAAGACATTTCCGAGGAAGATGGTGGCAGAAAAGGAGACCCTAACCAAACGCCCCGAAAAGATGCCGAAGAAGAGGACCAAGCTGCTGGCACAACAGCCGCTCCCGGGGCACCAGCCACACACCCTGGTTTCAGAGGGCTTCACAGTCAAAGCCATGATGAAAAACTCAGTCGTAAGTGATTTCCCTGCATCGAATGCGCTCGCTGCGGATCGGCGGGCACCAGGTTACCCAGGCTGGGCGGCCCTGGCGCGGAGCCGTGTCCTGGGCGGTCTTTGCCAAGAGTGGCAGCCCCTCGGCCAGGAGCAGGCGGTGCCCAGCCGTGCAGAGGCCCAGGCTGGGTTCTTAGGGAGGGTCTTGAGCAAGTGATACTTTCTGTGCATCTATAAGCACTTTTCTAATAATTCATGGTTTCTAGGCCTCCCAAAGTTACTCTTAAGCTCTTCGTAAAGGAAAAAGACCCCCTTCGTTATTCCTAAACTAGTCCCACTCGGCAGTAGGCCTCATAGCAAGCGAGTGAGTTCTTAGGGACCATAACTCTCTTGCGCATTCAACATTTGCTTGTATACAGCTGGGAACATAAACTCATTAAATAGCCTACAATAAGAAATCCCATCAGTTCAACCTAGGGAATGTCAGAATATCCTAACATTTACTCTAACAACATACTTTACTGTAACAAAACTCGTTCGTACAAAGTGGCATCAGTCTGTTTGAACACTGAAAGGCAACTTAATATGTCTATTTCACCTTTTACATGAAACATTTTTAAAATCCAAGCTTCAGTGCAAATACCTCTGGCTATAAATACAATTCATATTTCATTTTTATTATTTATGGTAGTTAAAACAGGTTCAATACTGTTGAGGAAAAAGGAATAAATGCTTTAGCTACATGCATGATAGGTTTTAAAAAAAGCTTTTCTATCTGTTGATCAGCTTTAAATTTTGTATTCTAAACCAGGTTTTACTATTGAGTAAGCACCTGTCTGGGAATGAGATGTTAAATAATAAATACAGCTTTCAAATTTGTATAATTTACTCTCTGGGAGGATCTGACTTATTGCATAGCAACTCATTATGTTAAATGAATAGTGTTGCTTTCCAGTGTCACATTATTTGTTTTACATAAATGTTGCAAAACTAATACCTATTCTGAAACCACATTCTTAATGAAAACATTAATGAAACAGATTACCTCTAGACCCCTAGGACAGATTTCCATGTTGGTAACAAATGGTATTCTGGTTATTGGAATGTGATTTACAGTAGTTACAATTATTAAAAATAGATGAAAATTCCTGCTAGTTGTAACTTCACCCATTTTGTGTATATTTCACGTGAACAGGTGGTCATGAGAGGCGAGATGACTGTTTATCAACAATACCAAATAACATAACTGTTCAAGCTAATTATTTGGGGTTTTTTATGATTATACTCTTAGTGACTTTTCATTGTTATATTTTTTCACAGATGTAAAAAATATTGGTCAGATTCTTTTTCTAAGCCTATGTTCATAGTCATGTTTATTTTTTTTTAAAGGCCTTACACTAAAGTCATAGTTCTGGAAAATCAAATATTTCAGTATTGCCAAATGTAATGAGTATGCTTATAAGACTCAAATAAGAAGCTGATTATGAAGCAGGCTTCTTTATAAAACAGCTTATTTAAGATAAGTTATCTTATTTTCATATTTTTAAGGAAAATATTTTTGCATAATATCTATTTTTCTACCAGGGTCTTCAAAATATGATGTGTAATTGTTTCACTTTATTTAGTGGAAACCATAATTCATAGATGCAAACGTTATTCAACCATTCATTTATTCATTCAATCAACAACTTTTTTTTTAACGCTAAACTGATAACTTGTTAAACACAGTTCTGGGAACTTAGGATCAGCAAAACAAACTCGCTGTACTTAATTCTCCAAGGAAAACCACCAAAACCAACAACAATACAATCTTGATAACAGGAAGATAGACAATACTGTCTATACAAACTAACTTCAGTGATATAGGAAATAAAACCTTTGCGTCTTCATATCCAATGATTACATTTCACTGTTTCTGTTTTCAACGGTATAGAATGTTTGGCATTATAAAATCCAAATATCCCTCTTTTTTGAGGCTTATTTTTATTCAGAAAATAATATGCCTATCTCCAACTTTTCTTAATTACAACCCCTTGTTCTAAAAGCTGACCTCCGAAACATTTTTCTAGCATTAGGGCTTGCCTTCCGTTCCCTCTTTCAAACACTTGCTCATGAATAAGTCGCCGTCCCAGCATTCTGCCACGATGACACACAGAGCCGCACCGTAAGGAGTTATGTGTGACCGCTCCTGTTTCTGGGAGAGTGCTTTCGTCATATAAGCACACAAACTTGATCGTAAACAGATTTGATCAGATGGGCTGTGCAAGCAGAAATCCTGAAGTCATAATTTATATACGAAGATGCAAACTTATTTACAAAACAATAATAAATGTAAATGTAAATGCTCTAGGCCGCAGTGTCAAATGTTCTTCAATAGTAAGTAGCCCCTCGACTTGCTTGAAATTGCTGTCGCAGTCTGTATGCACGCAAGTAATGATAGAGGTCGCGCAATCAGATTCATATCGTTATGTTTGCCTGAGAAGAGTGATATGAATTTCAGAATGTAAAGATTTTAGAGTCCATTTTCCCTCTGAAGGCCTTGTCTGTGGGGTGATACAGCCTGAATCAGAAACCAGTAGGTCCCTGTGCGCTGGCTTCATCTCAGCAGGCGGCAGAGGCTTGCTGTGCTCATCTGCCTCATGAGGGAGCAAGTTAGGACGCGGGCCCAGGGCCATGGTGGAGAAGTTGACTGCAATGTAGACTTTATATCGGTATTTCCCTTTTCCATGGTCTGTAGATGTTTTATGCTCAAAGTTTAGTGGAATGGGGAAAATATTAATTAGTTTACTTACACAGAAACTTTTATACTTACAATCATATTCATTCAACACATAGTGGGAATGGTCATTATTTATAAGTTATATTTTAAGATACTGATTTGGCTACTCTTAACTGAGACCAAATAACAATAGCTTCATTAAGATGGAAGTTGCTTCTCTCTCACACAAAAGTACAAATCTATACACAATCCAGGGAGGCTGGGCCCTGCTGCCACATGAGGAAGGTCCAGGGACATGGGAATCTTGCCTGGCATCCTACAGGATGACGCCCGGGGTCAGGGTGGGCGCCCCCCGCCAGGGTCAAGTCCCTCCCCTCAGCGAGGAGGCACGAGGAAGCAGAGAACTTCCTTTTAAGGGCATGGCCCTGTACCACACTTCCACTCACATCCCACTGGGCAGAATTTATTCATAAGCCTGTATTTTCTCTTTTTGCAAAAGCCTGTGAAAGATAGACCCTGGCAGGCACGCTTGGCCTCACTCCCGTTCCACCAGGAAAGGGCCTAAGAAAGATACCTAGTTCCAAAAGGCCAGAAGCTCCAACCCCTGTGTCATGCACAGGAGAAAGGGGGAGGAGACACCTGCAAGAAGAGACAGGCGGAAATGGAGAGCAAGGCGCTTCCTTAGAAGGGATGCTCCGGAAGGTGTGCTCATCACTTGTGCTCACATTCATTGCCAAAACTTCGTCTATGGCCACGTCCAGTGGCAGGAGAGGCTGAGAAATACAGCTGTTCTGACTCTCAGCTCTGTGTCCACCTAAACCCTAACGAGCTTTTCTACTGTAATGAAGGGAACAAGGGAAGTTGGGGGATGATGACAAGTGTCCTCCGCCGGTACTGAGTGTTTCTAGTGAAGAAAAGTAAAAGAATTGCTGTAGAAATACTCAGTACAGCGGAAGTGCCCGTGAGGACAAAGCGACCACGAGCTGACGGGCCCGCCTCACCGTCCGTCCGGTTTTTACAAGGTCCTCTGAATCGACGGCGAGACTCCATCCACCATCAATCAACTGCCGTTGCTGTTAAGCTCATCTGTCCGGGGCAGTGCGCCCTTTTCACTGCTGAAAGATTTTGGATCGCTTCCACTCTTACAGAAGAAAAACAGGCGCCATCCCTCCGCAGGACCTGCTGGGACCTAACCCTGTGCCACGGTTTTAACTTCATCTCCCGCTATTCTCATTGGCTCCGGCCAAATTAAACTGCAGCTCTTCAGAGTGAGAATTTTGCTCATGCTGCCCCCTTTGCTTGAGTGCCCTTCTCCCTACATATCTGCACACTGAAATTCCTCAGTCATTAGCTAACAGTATGTCCCCGTCACGGGGCCAAGCCAGCAGTCAGGGACAGGCAGGACAAAGGCATGCCATCACGGAGCAGCTGAAATGCCAGCTGCTTTCATTCTCTCTCCCTTTGTCACCCAAGACAAAAACTTGTCTTTGCCCATTGTTTTCTTTTTCTTTTTTTTTTTTTTTTTGATTGATTTCAGAGAGGGGACGGGAGGAAGAGAAAGAGGGAAAGAAACGTTGATCGGTCGCCTCCTGCATGTGCCCCGATGGCGGACCGGACCTGCCACGGCCCTGACTGGGAATCCAGCCCCTGACCTTTCAGTCTGCAGGGCGATACCCGGCCCTCCGAGCCGCACCAGCCAGGGCTGTTTTCTGCTCTGTACAAGTGACCCGTGCTTATGCTTCAGCCCCTCTTGGGCCTCCCCTGTGAGGGCGGCATCTGCGTCTAACTCATTTTCATCCTCCTGACCCGTGCCTATCAGCGTACTCAAATATTTGATGAAGGAAGGCAATTCTACCCTTTCCTCTTATCTCATCGTCTCCCTCTTTATTGTTGCTGTCCTTGTCGTTTATCTCTCCTTTGGATTTTTTTAACCACCCTCCTCCGCTGCAGGAGCCCACGGGATCCCTTGAAACTCAGCCCGGTGATGATGACATTGCTCCCCTCAGACCTGCAGGCGGCCCCTCGTCTCAGAGGAAAAGCTAACGTGGTGGCCCTCCCACGAGGCCCTAGTCTAGCTGCCGCGCCTTCTTCCTTTCTAAATCTTAGTGCTTTCTCCCTCCCTCACCCTGCTGCGCCCGCAGTAGGTCCCGGCAGCTCCCTGGGGTCAGCTGCCTGGCTGCCTCCCTGCCTTGGCCCCACCGTTCCCTCGGCCTGAATGCATGGTCCCTATGTTACCATCTCTTGGTCCTTCCATTGTTGTTCAAAAACGAACTTCTTAGTGAAGGCTTCGCTGACTGTTTCAA